GGGCCAAAGGAAATTTCTTTATGGTAATGAGGCTAGCAAGGTTTGGTGCCTGTTTGAAGACTAGGATGGGTGGTTTTGGGAAGATCTCTTTAAGAATTGGGTTTTTTCTAGTGTGAGTTGCAATTATATGAGGATTTTCTATATTAGTTTGAGGGAGGAGTGATATGTCATAACCAGTGGTGTCTGATTTGTGGGGGTTTTCCTTCTGTACTGTATCAGTTCTTCACATGGTATCTAGGTGGCTCTTTCAAGCATGCAGTCTATCTCTCTGGATAGATAGAGCCATTAGTGTCCTTGTTAAGTGAAAGCCTTCTTGAGATTTGTGAGGTGGTAATCGGTGTTCTCCTCAGTGCAGATTTGATGGAGGAGGTATCTGAGGGCTTGGCTGTATATTAAGGCTTTCTTGGTATGTTTAGGGTGATTGCTGGTTCTGTGCAAGTAGGCCTACTGAATTCATTTTGAAGAGTTCCATTTTAGTGCAATAGACTTTTATTAAAACCGTTATTTTATTTCAGCCCTGGATCTTTGTTTAAAATTCTAATGGTTTTACATTCAAACAGCTAATTTTGTAAGAAGTTCTGTACACACCACTCTATTTTCATTTACATTTAAATACATTTTAATTATAGGACCTAAAATACTTAACAACAGTCTAATTATATTATATACAAAAGCAGCAGAATGTTACTTTATTTTAAATGTACAAAAATAATATCTTCAGATTACTTAATCTTAATTACTTAAAGACTCGGTGCAATTGTGAGTAGAGTTAATTTGTTTACTAAAATGATTTGAAGGTTCCTTTCATGTGAAGGACAGGATAACAGAAAGGGAGCTATTTAGGCTTTGGATAACACATGGGTCCCATTAACTTCAATGGAAGCTGAATATCTCCATCTGAAGGTAAAATATGGCCTCAAAACTGTAACTAATCAGATGAAAATTATATTTTACCCCTAAATTTAAGTGCTCAATTGTCAAGATTATATGACACTTTAGGATGAATTTGTTTAAGATCAACATTTTGTAATAGATACAGTCAAGTTTGCCTTGGTGGGAAGAAGTAGAGATTTTTGTCTGATAGGTTTTCACTGGTCATCTTCAGGATTGAGACTTGGCTGTCATCTTGCTGTATTTGGTCAGTGTTGGATATAAAGAATGTATTAAAGAAAATGAGCTATGATCATTCTTGAGATTAAGAAGTCTGTAACAGGGCAAGGAACAGCCCTGTTTCTTTGGTGCTACAAAATTGTGAGTGCGGGGGAGAGTCGGGTCAGGGACAAGGCAAAGATAATTACTTAGTAGACACAGTTGAGAAGAGGGATTGCATCCAGGGTGAATGTTGCCTGATTAAGAGTCAGTGGCTATTAAAGTCCATGGCAGGGGGCTTTTCTTTGCCAGCTGGGGAATGGTGTGAGGAGAGTCAATGGGGAAAGCCAGGAGCAGCAAATCCAGTGCTGGAATGGATTGCTGATAAGACTGGCTTACTGGGTGATAGTAACCACAGCGACCGCCAAAGCAAAGAGGTGAGAGAGAGACAGAGGGGAGATTGATTCTCAGGTAGAGAGAAGGTCCCATGGAGGAAGAATCTGCTGATACCTGCAAAGGAAGGAAAGAGAGTGAGACTAGAGGTGAGCTGACAGGCTCAGGGGAGTAAGTTGCATAGCAGTGGGGGGTGAAGGAAGATGGTGTGCTGTGAGAACAGCCAGGGTTATCCACAAGCTGTGGGGAATTCACTAATAAACCAATTTACTTTTATACTGCTTCTGGGGTGACTTACCACACCCTCTCTCATTGGGGAATTAACTTCTTATTCTTCCATCACTTCAAGGCATGGCAGGAGAGCCCCAAGGAGAGAAATTTCATTATTCATCCCAACATAGCCATGAAGTCTAAAGATTAATTTCCTATTAGGATGCGATTTTTACTCAGTGACCACATGTACGCAAGACTCACTCAGTCATTTAGTACTTGTTTATTATTATACTGTATGAAGGAACGGCTTCATATCCTTCAGCCGAGGAATGGCCTTTTCATGATACTGACTGTGCGGTATCCCTAGACTACTGCGCAATAGCATCACATCATGCTTTCTGCCATGCCACATTACTGCACAGTAGTCACAGACTGCTGAGCAACCAGCATCTTGTGTGGATGCAGTCAGTGATCCTTTTCCTGATGGAAAGTTTATAGTATTCAACTGTAAATGCTGGTACAGCTAAAGAAAAAGAATTATATGAAAATTAAAAAATTGAGATAGTAATAGAGTACAAAGTAAAATTATCTGTCTATATGTGTCCTTTTAACTATAAATTAAAATACTTTGTTGCATTCCTTTACTGTTAGAACTTTTTTCACTATAGTTTTTAGTGTGAAAATACATGAAAGACTCATGTATAGAAACATCTTCTATTACCCAAACCAAAAGAGAGTGTATCTCTTGTGGATCATAGCTGATTGAATAATATTTAGTATTTTCATCAGTTTCAGCTTCAAAAAAAATCTTTGGGGATACTAGAAATTGGAATTTAAGGTTCATGGATCATATTACAGAATATTATGATTTGGGGAAAATGAAAATTGCTAATGCAATATAAAAGTCATCAGCATAATATGAAGAGTGACAGTGCAATACTTTTGAATCCACTAATAATATATATAACAACATTTAGTGCAATTTAAGTGTAATACAATTACTGCAGGGACATAATATGCTAGGACTAATTGCATTATTGACTGACTGATGTAATTTATTAGCGAAAAAGTATATTTGAATGTTTTCCCTCTTTATATAGTTCAAGTTAGAGGACTTTGGAAATAAAAATGTTATTACATTCAATGGTCAAATTCTAAATTGGGTTTCTAAAGTTAATTAACTTCAATGAGACCTACAGCACCTCTAAACATTGGACCACTTTTATTAAAATGACAAAAGTAACAATAAGTACTTTACTTTTAGCATCCAGCTTTGAAAAATGTTGCCAATATGATCACATCTTTTGCCCTTTAATAAAGCAGGGCTTGAATGAATAGATGGCTTGTTACTGATAAATAGTAGAGATGAGTACAAGCCAGAACTGAACTTGTCCAACTCTATTGTTGCTGTTGAAATCCTGGAATCTGGTGATTGCCTGCCTCCAGTTTAAATCTGAATCAAGTTGTCAGAGTCTAACTGTTATTGTCACCACAAGTGTGCTTATGGTGTACACTTCCTCAATCCAGGTGCCTAGTTTCTCTGAGCTATATTAGCAAATGTCCTTGGATCCCTAGTAGACGGGTATCTGCATCACAACCCCCTCCCACCAATCCCCACTTTTTGAAGTTACTGTTGTCCTCAAGTTTAGTCTCTAATTCATTTAGGGCTGTGCGGAACAGCACCATTTCATTATGACTTCCGTTTCACCATTTTGAAGGGACATTGGTTCATTTTGATGTTTTGTTTAGTTTCCTTTCAAAGCACTGTTCCATTTTGTTTTGTTGAAACTGTTTTGCTGTTTCATAGCATTTTGCCGTTTCACCCATAGGCTGTAAGGGGGAATCATGTAACTGCCTATAGCTTTGTCATTTCTTGCCTGATTCAAATGAAAACAGCAGGGAGGATAGCTCCTTATGAAGCCACAAAGCCTGCAAGCTTTCAAGGAGATAGGTGCAGGGATTTCTGGGAAACTGCACCTCAAGATGCTAACAAGCAAAACTCATGACGTATGACTTTGTGTGTGTGTTAAGGCGCACCCTCACTGGCACTGGGACCCCAGAGCACTGGGATTGGAAGGGACCTCAGGGAGGGTTCACAGTCACTGGCCAGCTACACAGTCAGTGTCAGAGCAGTCCTTCCCCGCTCTTTCCTCTCCTTCTCCTTACTTTCTGTTTCTCTGCAAGCAAGCCCAGCTTTAGCTTTGTAACTCAAAACATTTCAAAACTTTTGAAATGTTTTGACTGACCTTGTTTCATTTTGAGGCTTGTTCAAAGCTTTCATTTAATTTGATTTCGCTGTTTTGAGCTTGAAACAAAACAGCTGATGAAATTTTGCATAGCCCTATCCTCTATTACTGGAGCTGTTCCCCACAAAGGTAATGTTAAAACAGAAGCAGTGTGGCTTATGCTACCAAGGAAGCACTTGGGCATGAATAAACAGTGAATTTTAGTAAAAAGTTGTTTTTTAGAAAAATTATTGATTTCTGGACTTAGTTAAAAATATATGGGCCAGATCCTCAGAAGGTAGGATGCAGATTGGTGTACCTCCACTGGCTTTTAACTGAGCTGTGCTAAAGTGCACTTGATGAGGAAATGGCCCTTATGTGCCTCTGTTTGAAGTTTTAAGTAAATTGTTCATGTTCTCTTCTGGAATAAACATGGTAATGTTAGATGCATGACAGTGACCCTGTAAATGTAATAGCTCACACAATGGAAATTAATTATTTGGAAACCACTATTTATTCCTATATGATATCTTTCTGGAAAATGGTTATCAGTTCATGCAAAGATTTTTTTGAACAGATAAAGAGGCAGGTTCTTCACTAGCAGGTCATGTATATGTGATAAAAAGCCAAATTACTTCCCCTAGGAGTGAAGTTATGGGATGCTTGAGAACATAAAAGGAAGATTATTGTTGACCTTTAAGCTTTCAAGAAAAAAACACTAACATGGCTTTTTCCAGTTTCTACTCTGCAATCTTCACTCCTTGACACATTATATAGAACTATGTCATTTGAAGCACAGTCTAATGTCTTGATTTTCAGTTGCAGTCTTTGATCATAGTCTAGTCATACTATACTTCCACATAAATGCTTGCCATCATCTCTTCTAAAGGATCTTCAAGATTCATCCCATTTTAATAAGCATATAAGATTTGACTTGGGTAGTGTCAATATTACTTACTGTATACAAGAGAAATCCCATTTTTTTGGGAAATTTTCTAAGGAAAGTGGAGGGTTGAAAAGTGTACCCTTCTGTCTGTGTTTACTGACTTATTCCTGCTTCACTTTCTTACATGGGTAAAGAACAGAATATTCCCACAATGCTGATCAGGAGAAGGTTGAAGTTGAAGAGAAAAATGTAAAAACATCAGCACATCAGATTGTGCTTCCTTTAGAAGAGCGCATTACCCATTTCCGAGATATGCTTCTGGAGAGAGGGGTAAGAAATAAGGGTGATTAATATATTCCTTGTAAATTTTGACAATAGTATATGCAATATGACAAATATAACAAGCATGCTATAACTCTAACTCCCACATTAACCAAGAGGTGCTTTTTTTCTCTTCTTTCTAATATACACAGTTACCATATATAAAGGAAATGACATGAAAAAAACAAATCAGAAATAATTGTTAAGAAATGTGACTGGTCTAAACCTTGAAATGAACAGCTTAAGCATTTTGGCCATAGTGATGTTATGAAATTGTATTTTGGGTTTTTTTGGTGGCATATATATTTTCAGACAAAGATATATTATTTGTCAAAGAGTCTTTTTTAATCAAAATATGTAGGATTATAGCATAATCAACATTTGACCATATGGATGAAGTATATATTAATGTACAGACAGAATAAATTAGTTATATCAGGTTATTTAATCAACCACATGGTTTGAATTATAGAATATTTACTGATTTTGAAAGGGACCTGATTTTTCTTTTTTTAATACTAAAATTAATGCAGCTATATTTAACTGCTCACAAAAATGTGGTTAGACAAAAATGAATTAGCCCAACACGGCTACAACCTACACCCCGGTAACACAAAAGTGTTAGCATTTATTCAACTGATTCTGTATACAGTTATTTATTTCCATAAAATGTTATCCATATGATTAAGAGCCACTTTACAAAATTAGGCCCTTAGTGTATCTTCTGGTTTCCTTAGTGATGGATTTGAGTATTAACTCGTAGTAGAAGTGAGCATCAGACTTTTACACTCTAATCCTGCAAACTGTTAGGTGTGCACATTTACAGGCATGTATGTTACCCCATGAAATTCAAAGGAGGTACTTTGGGAGCGCACTGGGATGCTGCAGGCTTGTGCTGTAGCTTCTTTCCAGGGAGAACGTTTTACAAATGTTCACGCTCTCCCAGGAGAAAGTCTCCTGGGAGTGACTTAACCTTGCTTGTTCCCAGATTATGTTTTTCTGGGAGAAGCCATGTTTGGTCTAGGAGAAAAATCTTGAACATCTGTGTGCTCATAGTTTCTTCTGGGATCCTAGGGAAGTGGTGACTCTCGCAGGAGAAACTGAATGTCTGTCTTTGGCTACAGCTGCAGGGCCTTTGCTGTCTTCTCCATCACTAGGACAGTTTAGCAGCAAATGTTTTTCATAAGATATATACAGTCAGGGTAGAATAAAATGGCAAGATTGCATGATTAATGCTAAACTTAAGGTAAGGTCCTGGAGCTTACAGGGAGGAATGGAATCGAATGGGGAAGGTTCTATATGTAGCAGACTCCAGAAGGAGCACTTCAGGAGGAAGGAGTTTGGAGGAAATTGTTCGATGTGCACATGGCAGGAATGTCAACTACTTTTGTGGCATTTCATAAATAGTTTTCTTTTAACTATTAGTCTGCACATGCTGTGTGATACACAGTGCCATAGCAACAAAGTTTGCAATTGGGACAAAGCCCCCAGCGGCAGCCCACCCTCACCCAGCACATAGATCCGAGTGGTACACCCCTCCCCCGCCATGCTTGCCTGGAAGTGCATGCAGCAGCGGGAGCCACCCTCCCCCCATCCCTGCATGCCCCCCAGTGAAACCCTCATGGCTCCATCCCACACCCTGCCCTAGCTGGGCAGCATCTATTGGTGCCCCTTCATTTTGGTGGCCAGGGCTATTGCCCTGCTCGGCCCCACCCCTTGGTATGGCACTGGTGATACATAATATACCCAACTCAATTTCAGACCAAAACTCACAAAACAAAATCTCCAGTTGTTTTGGAAGTGTAATCTGCACTAATACAGTGCTCCCTTCAAATTATGTGTCTTCTTTAGCTTGAACAATAGGCACTTGTGCTTTTATGTCCATAGGTTCCCAGGGTCATTCTTTACATTTACAGCTATCATGTTACAGAAAGAGGCACTGTTCATAACTGTTATATTAACCAATCCCTTTACATTCTAGAAGTCAGCTTATAACTTTGAAACTTCCTGGCTTCCAGTGATTTCTAGGAAAGCCAATTCATTCAGACCCACTTTGCATCATCAAAGGTTTCTTGTTTGATTGTTAATTATTCTGTTTTAATTATACTTCACACACTTAATTTTTTTAGTGATTTACTCTTCTTTGTAATTAGGTGAGGTGATTAGAATATTTTATGTTACTCCAGAGTTTTCTTTTAATGAACTAATTAACAGTGATGATATATAAGATGTCAGAGGCAGGCTAGGGATTTAACTCATATGTTTTGAGGATCTTGCATCATAAAACTTTCTGGACAAAGGTGAATCAGAAAATAGAAGACCTTTTCAAATCTAATATTTTGGCCCCATCGGCCTTATTGAGTTTAATGATGTTTCTAATATTGGGAATTTTGTTGCAAAGGAAAATACTCAATTGATAACTGAACTAATGGAAGTAAAGTAAGTGAACCTAAGGCAATGGACGGATACTGGTAATTCTGCACCAATGGAGACAGAATTTGTTGCTTGGCCATCTTAGACAATTCCCTGAAAGAATGAAGAACAACAGAGACATATTTGAGGACATCAGGAAGCCTTTTTGGAATTTACAGTTTAATAATATTTACTTAGTTTGTGGTAACACTTAAAGCATTGATCCTTTCCAATAACAGATGGAGACTGCAACTCTCACAAAGAGTACATGGTCTAAAAAGGCAAGACCAGTATTGCCTATTAGAATTTTTCTCTTTTCCATAGTTCGTGTATATACTTGTTTGGAATGAGCTGACTTTTTATACTGTTACCAAATGCCATTGGTTCTTAGCAGCTCAAATTTAGCCCCTTTTAGAAAATATGTAATAATGTAATTTAGGATTTCATTATATTTATGGGAGTCAGTGGAATGCTGGGTGCAAAATTTGGTGAACAGTGCCTCAGTAACATCTGTGGAGGGCTCAAGGAAGGAAGCATTATGATTGCTACATAAAGTATAATGACTCTTGGGTTATAGATATCAGTTCTTTTGTGCACTCAAGCATTGGCAGACATAATCTGACTCTTATACTGATTTGTGATGTGAGACTGGTGGCAAGATGAATTGCTTAAATGAACTGAACTTTTGTGTTTGATTTAGCATGGGAATGTGTATTCCTATTTCTTATGCAGTATGACCAAAATGGTTATAGCTTGCCTATAGCAATCAATACTAATATATATTGTGGCACTGATCAGAGAAATGGCCAGATGCATATTATTATTCTTACCCACTGAGGAACAATTCATTTTCCCAGCCACTTTTCAGAGGTATCATTAACTATCCAATGTGTTTTTGAGCTTTCAACTTTGCTTTTCCAGTACCAAATCCAGGCCAAAAAGTATTTTTATTTAAATAAATAATATTTTCTCCTTTATTTTAGAAGTCTGTGATTATGTAAATGAATTTACATATACAGAAGGAAAGTTTTAAGTTTATGTAAACTTAAAGGAAAGGTGCCATTAAGTATATTTAGGGCCCTACCAAATTCACAGTGAAAGTGTGTTGTGCTGTGGCTCCTTTAATATTTCAGGTTCCCCTGCACAGTCCCCCTCCACCCCACTGCTGATTGGTGGAGGGACGTGACTTGCAGCTCAGTTCTGATTGGCAGGGTGAGCTGCAAGCAGGGCCCCTTCACTAATCGGGCAAGCGGGGAGGGCTGCAAAGGAACCTGCAAAATTAAACCTGTGCAGCCCACACTTGCAGTAAATTTGCTAGGGCCCTAGCTATATTTAAAGCAACAGGGGAAAAAAAGAGGGAAAAAAAGAAAACAAAAACAGGACACAAGATAAAAGTAAATCTAATTTGAAATGTACATACAATCTACCAGAGAAATAAAAACTAAAGGAATAATATTAGTAGCAATCAGAAGTCAGAAGATCACTATGTAGGTAAATAAAGACAACAGAATAAAAACATTAATATGAGGAGGAGCTGAAGAGGGGCAGATAGAAAATAAAATTATAAAATAACACGAAAAGAAAATGAAAAAGTAATTTAAATTTATCCAAGAGATTGGAAAAATACGTTTCTTAAGTGTATGTTTGCTTGCTTAGTTTTTTGGGGTTTTTTTTCACTTCAGGCATGTTTTCCTAAACTTGTTCAAGAAAGCCTCTTAGCAGAAGTACCATCTTGTTTTCTCCTGTTCTCTTATGCCAGTTGACAATTTTCTTAAATATTTCTCTTACTTCAAATTTAGTTATCTTCATTCTGATTATTCAATTTATTCCTTCCAGAAACTTTATTCCTAAATTGCATATTATTTTTTCCAAAAGCATTTTTGTAACATTAATGCATAGTGAACATTGCCTAGTAACTTGGCATAACCCTTTGTTACAAAGCTTTAGTAAAGGTATTTAATGCAGATACTTTCATGTATTTCTTAGGTCTCAGCATTTTCTACTTGGGAAAAAGAGTTACACAAAATAGTATTTGACCCACGCTACCTTCTACTGAACTCTGAAGAACGTAAACAGGTGAGTTCAGAAGAGTATTAATAATGTATGTAACCTTTCTGGTCAGTTTTTGATGCCCAACAATTACCATAGCATCTCAATGACCCACAAACTAAAATAATAATAATAATGTTGTTGTTGTTGTTGTTATTGACAACAACAGTAATCACCTTATTTTATCTTGGAAAGTAGGATTCATAGTTTAGTAGAATTAAAGGTATGTGTGTTTAAGTGTGTAGACCCACCTAACTGAGGGCACTAACTCTCCATAATGGGGTGTTATAAAAAGGTGAATTCTTCCATATCTGCTTGTAAGAGATGCTTGTCATCCAAGAGAGGTTTTGGAAGTTTTCAAGTGCATGGTAGACATGCATTAGTTTGGGATGATCCTGCCTTGACCATTGCTGGACCTATTCCTATGGCCCTATTCCTATGATTCAGAAATGATATTCATTTCTGTTCAAGCTGTATTTTTGTGAATAAATGGTTTTAAGAGCCTGAGGAAGGTGGGAAATGGTGGTGTTACCTTTTGAGAGAGAGAAATATAGAACTCAACTTCTTACAAGTATCACTTGCACTTCAAATCTATTGTCTATGTAGTTCCTCTAATGGCTTCAAATAGGTATCAAATAAGATGATGGAGAAAAGTGAACCTTTTGCGACCCCATAAGTGAGGAACTGAAGGTAGAGGCACCACCTTCTCCATGATACAGAATGCATAAGGACATATAACAACAGTACTTTTTTATATGCATATATTGAAACACTTTAACTTATACTTTCCATATAAGTTATTTTCAAATTATATTTTATTTAAAATGTTTTTGTAATGCATGATTGTGAAATGAGGAAAATGTTTAATAAAGGATAGCAGTAAACAAGAAGACAGGATTACTTTGCAAGAAAGCTCTGCCTTTCCTCCAATGACTCAACAAGGACAACACCTAGACCTTGATCAATCTATCAAGCTTTATTGCTTCTTTTGTGTTATCAACCATATACATGATTTAATAAAAATACATAATGAATACTCCTAATAGAAACATATCATATAGACCTTACCTTGAAACATTGCTGACATGGACCTCATTTGTGGGGTACATTAAATGCTCAAGGAAAAATGATTATGAAGACTAAAGACTTTATATAGAAGATCAAAGTTGTGTTAATGTTGGTACTGAGAAAGAAAATATTCAAGATGAAAAGTAAACTAGAGGATTAAAATAATTGGTGACATTCTACCAAGTGTGATTAATTGGACCAGTTGGAAAGAGATGTAACAAAAAAAGTCCTAGATTTACTGATCTAAGAACTGAATCAAGCTTTGTTCATTTGCTTCTGGAAAAATATGCACAAACTATAAGCCAGTTCAAGCATTTTTGAGGACTATTACCTAAATAGTTGTAATTAATGCAAAATTAAATTAGATGTTTAAAGTTTCAGAAGATTTGCTGGATAGAAATATAAATGGAAGGACTTGTTGTTCTAGGTCCAAATTTTCTTTTATAGCTGGCTTTTGAATAATGGATTTGTAGGTATTCAGATGTTTCAGACTGTTCTATTTATTTAGACATTACTGTCTTTGATTCCATGTGACCTGAGAAAAGAATAAAAATAGATTACTGACTTAATTAATCATCATGCTCATGTATTGTAGAAGAAATAATGTATGCTGTCATCAGATGCATGGAAAGTTTTGCTGTGAATGATGCTTACTGATGCCTTATTTTACGTGGAAATAGAGTTTGTGGGAGAAAAATAATCTCTGCTATACGTCTGTGCAAGCCTTTGACATTCAGAAGATTAATTTCCATGCAGTCTTTTGAATTATGTAAATGAGCTAATGTTTTGAAGACTCAGGGCTGAAATCTGGCCCTAATCCTATGATGAGTTCATGAAGACTACATACAAATTAAATAGAGGAATCACTGGCCAGGCGATGGCCAGTTAAACAATACATTATTAATGTTTCCTCTTTCTTCCCTTTTCTAGCTTGAAAAGGGCAGGAGAGAAATGGTCCTAAGCAGAGAGGGCATGAAAGCTTTTATCCTTACATCCAAAAAAAAGTGTTTCATGACTCTAACATATGTTAGATTAGTTGGATCATGATGTGAGCCCTGCTTTGTATCTCTGGGTAATTTATCTGAGGCTGCCTGAGGAATGGAAGTATCTTTTACAGAAGACTAGCAGTTAGGTAGGTTTATTTATCAATATTTCCCAAGGGGTTATTACCAGTTAGAGGAAAGATGTTATAGTACTTAGATTGAAAATAGAGTGAAACTTATGCCAAGAAACTGTGAAAAGCATTGTAGTAGAAAATATATTAGATGGATTTATTATAGTCAACGAGTACTGTCATTTTGGAGAATCACTTCTCGTAACATTAATAAATAAATTGTTTAAGAATTCTATTATTGTTTGGAATTCTCAGATGACAAAGAAGAATTTAAATTCTATTCTTGTCTTTCATTTTCTTTTTACAGTTGAAATTCAGACAAGAATAATTATATGTTATAGCAGAAGCTATAATGTACCTTATGCTTTAGCAGGGGAAATTAATGCTCTTTGAGAAGCTATTTTTAATGTTTTAGTATTTCTAGAATATTTTGCAATATATCGTTCTATTAATCAACCCCACACTTTCATGTTCAGTTTTAGGAGACACACCTTTTCCCCTGAATATAGCTAGATAAATACAGATAAACTGCTTTTTCCCTGTCCCCCATTTCCCTTCCCCTCCCCCCTCCCCAAAAAAGGGAAAAAATTCTCAGTGGAATTGAATAATCAAGGGAAAGTTCCAAATAATTAAATCCATAAACATACTGACTAAGTACAGACAGTCAAAAGCATGATGGTGAATCATTTCAATCTTTGCAGGTTAGTCTAAGATGTGTAGATTGAACCAATAAGCAAGTGAACAGACATTCAATTTCGATTCCAGAAAGGCAGCCACATGTCTGCAGAAGCTGGGGGTGCAAGAGAAGTCCTCCCTGCTCAGGAGAAACAGACAGTTTGGGCCAAGGCTAGCTCATCCACCCTGCAATGGAGTGGGGGAGGGGGTTTGTGGGGAAGGTGCAAAGCATCCTGGGGTGTTGGGAGACTTTGAGTTAACTTGAATCTGGAGGGGATCTGGACAGAAGTTCAATGAACTGATTTAACCTAACTCAGTTAAGTCTGATACTACATCCATCCTGGTTTATCTTAAACCAGTTTTGGCCATTTTGAAAATTGTTGATATGCACTGTGTTGCAGATTTGAACCGGTATCTGATCACTTATACCAGTTTATATGTGATTTCTGTCCCTAGCCATTGAAATTAAAAATTATCCTAGGTACCAGAGAAAAAGTTTCCCAAGGCTCACAATATTCTGACTCCACATATAAAACCCAAGGGCAATTTTGATGTTTTTTTCTGTGGGAAAAGAAATGTTGACTTACAGTCAGAACAATACAGCAGCATGATTGATAGCTGAGCACATTTTGCAGTAATCAAAACTGATCATAATATGTTTCCTAATATTGATAACGTGGTGATAGAATTTGCAGTGGCAATTTTACCTAGTTGTGTGCCTCATTTCTGCCCTACATGCAGTTACTTACTCACCTAAGAGCACATAGAATCAATTAATATATGATTTGGGCTTGAGCTACATGTTAACTCTCTCTTTTTCCACTTTTAAGTTTGTATGTTTGCAGAAATATTGCTTCCTTTACGTAGGCACAAGATAAGATTTGGAGTTACCTGCCAAATTATTTTTTTGCTTTCTCTTTCCTGTAAATATATGTTTGCACATGTGAAAGAATGGAAAGTCATCAGAGACCTGCTTCAGCTAGTTTACCTTTTCCAGTACAAACAAGGAACAGATATAGTGCTCCTACAAATAGGTATTTTAGTGTTAAACAGTTATAGATATTTCAAGGCAAAATACTTGATTTTTATTCTGTGTTTCTTTATAATGCAAACTAAAGGGCCAGATTTTTAAAGGTGTTTTAAGGTGATTATAGATGATGATTGGTACCAAGGGGAATTTTCAAAACTGCCTACAGATGTAACGTCCATAGATTTTAAAGGGAGTTTGGCAACAAAGAAATCCCACTGGGGTGTATCTGCATCTTTTTGTGCCTAAATATGTTTACATAGCTGGCCTACAGCTCTTCTACTGGCATTGATAGCTTTGTCTGCTTGTGTGCATCATGTGGAAGCCCATGTGCAAGCTCAGTGGAAACATGATTCAATTTTTCTTTGTGTAATGGACATGAAATTGCTGCTTAGCATCATGGACACTTTTCTGGCCCACAGTCAGGAGTTAAGATAGGTCAGGAAAGGTGCAGACTTCAAACCTAATAAATGCAATCTGTTTGACAGATATGAGATGGAAATGTATAATCTTATAAATCTTATGAATGTTGAGCTATGCACAGGACTAGTTACCTATACCCCTGACAGGAAGGCTGCACTCTGTATTTGAATGCAGACTTGCATGCCCCAAATAGATATTTTTTTCCTGTGAAACACATTATCAGACCTTAGAAGCAGATTGTATAGGTATGTGGGTCAGTGGAGTGCAGTTCTGGAATTCTGCAAACCTTTAATCAACTATGTGTATGGCAAAGAAACTATTAATAAATATTGCTGTATTTTGTCTCCTTTTTCCTTAAAAGATATTTGAGCAGTTTGTCAAGACAAGGATGAAAGAAGAGTACAAAGAAAGGAAAAATAAATTATTGCTAGCCAAAGAAGAATTTAAAAAACTGCTAGAGGAGTCCAAATTATCACCAAGGTATGAAGCTTCTTCAAAAGAAATGGGTTTTCACACATTTTAAATTAAAGAAACTTTTTAAAAAATTAGATCATGATCAATCTTTTAACTCACTGATGCTTTACTTTTAATGTCTGTAGCAAAAAAAAAAAAGAGTTCTATGGAAAGTAAGAGGGCAGTGGCTTATTTATTCTTGTTCTATCTCAATCTATCTCCCCCTAGCCTTCCTGAATATCTGTATGTGCACATGGTTAGGGACCTACCAAATTCACGATTGTACAATTTTTGTGGAAAATTCAAAATCAGGTAGGATTTGTGAAAAATGGTGGTCTCTGATTTGGATGGGCTGACTGTAAAGAAAAAAAAAATTACTTACCAGCAAGCAGAGAAAAGGACAGGAAGCCCTACAGTCTTGGAGCATGGGGGGTGAGGGCAGGAAGGGGGTGGGCAGAGGGAAGAGGGCAGGGAGGGGGAGGAGGAGCAAGGAGTGGGAGTGGTAGGTGGAGGTGGGACAGAGGCTGGAGGTAGGGGGAGGGAGGCCAGGCATGGTTGCTTGCAGCAAGAGGCAAGGATGCTTCAGAAGCAGCTGCACTGGGGCCCCAGGCTGGCTGTGGCAGGCAGCCGGGAGGCTGCACCAGAGCCTGTGGAACCCTGGCCTAGCTTGTTGTGTGCTTGTACCCACCACCAGCAATGAGTTGGGCCAGGGCTCCTCAGACCCCAGTATAGCCTCCCAGCTGCCTGCCACAGCCAGCCTGTGACCCCAGTGCAGCTGCTTGTGCAGTATCCCTTCTAGGGGATGGCCTGAAACAGTGGTAGAATTACCCTGATTACGCCCAGGGAAGCCATTAATCCATGCTTAATAACATTTGGATTAACAGCTTTCCCAGGCTTAATCAGGGCAAAGAAGCTGCAATTTCAGGCAATCTATGGGGAAGGGCAGGTCTGTGGGGCCTTTCAGTCAATCAGAGGAATGGGGGTGTCCACCCTGCACTCATCCCACAAAAATGGTGGTCGGCCCTGGGGTCTGCCCAAAAAATCAGCCAGCCACCTCCTCGAGTTTGGTAGACCCTTACCCATAGTGAATGTGAAGTAAATAATTTACCCATGTAAGCACAGCAGAATGCAAAGTACCCAGCCTCTAGCATTTAAATAAACACATAGCAACACATAACATCTCCAGTATTTTTC